AATTTAAAATTTTTTAAATTTACCAATATATGAAATAACCAACAGTGCTTAAATATTTTACCTTATGGAATTTAAGAAGTTGAGATTACTTGATATTATATTTAACAGTTAACATTTAAACTTTGTAAACAAATCAGATGTCTCTAACAAACACATCCATGATTAATTTCATATATGTCAGATCTAATTTACATTTTTTTTTAAAAAAAGGTATAAGACAAATGCATTGAATAGCATTTGTAATTTTTTCCCATAAAAGAAAAATCCTAGAGACAATGGATATTAGACACTTTATAGATACGAACATTTTATTAACAACTGTTTGACCACCTAGAAACAAATCTGTGCATTGTAACTTTAAAGATATTTTTACTTTTATTTATTTACCCAATTTCAATTGAACCTTTTAAACCATATGAGCCAAAGATATTAATATCCATTTTTTAAATTTTAATTTATGAAATCATATGTCAATTCTTAGTACCAAATATATGTAGACACTGAGAAACTGACGTGACTCCATTTTTGAAAATAAATAAATAACAGCAGCTTCTACCTCAAGCCCTATCCAAGGAAGAGGGCATGACCCTTGTCCTTGAGGGGGAAAAACCCACAGAGCACTCCGAGGCACATACTCATCTGCTGACTTGTTTATCTACAATTAACAGGAGAGATCTGAGGCACCAGGTGTCCGTACTCAGTTAGGCTAGGTGAGGACCCATAGCAACCCCCTAGCAACCACCAATCAGTATTTTCCCAGACAGGGAAAATACTCAGGATGCCAGATGACCCCCCAGTACTTTATGGTGGCTGATAACATGTTGGGAAACCATGTAGTTCAGCACATACGCCCCTCATGGCTTAAAACAATCAGTTCAAAGGAATCCTGCAGACCCACCTTTCTGTTCAAATGTGGCTCAACAGGCTTCAACAAATATCCCTACTCATCCATTAATTCCCTCTTGTGGGGATGGGACCAAGCAGGACAAGTCCAACCTGGCACTGAGATCCAATCAAACCCATAGGAAAGAATGGTTGATCCCTGATGCTTCAGGAGAAAAGATCTTCATCAGAACAGGGATATATAAATGGTATCCAAATCAACAGGAAGTAACTTGTGTCAAATCCTGATGAAGGGGAGCCAGGGGGCCATGGGGGGAAGGTCCCTGAGCAGCACTGCCTGGCAGCAGGAACTATCACAAATGAGTAAGCCACAACCTCAGCTGTGCATAAAATCTACCCCAACCTGTACCCCCATGTTTTCTAGGAGGACACCTGGCCAGTCGCTGCCTGTTGTCCTTGAACTGAGGCCACCCTTGGTACTGAATCTGTGGAGCCAGTGAGAATTGATTCAAAGCTGCCTTTGACACCCTGTCTCCCTTTGCCTCCTGGATGGGGCTCTGACTCATCTTTCTTTGGGTGTCCTGCATTCCTGCCCTATTATGTCTGACTACACTTGTTCTTTGGAGAGCCACTGTCTGTTGTGACTTAGGTTGACAGTAGCATCTACCTGCCTCCTGCACCAAGTCAAGGGTGGTAAGAGAAGGCAGGGCTGTGGCATGAAGTCACCCTTTCAGCTGCCTACACACAGACAAATGGCAGAGAAATTTAGAATTCAGTTGAGAGACTAGATTTCAATTGTTGTGGAGCCTAAAAAGCAATGAGGTCTCTGAAATAGCCTTAGCCCTACTGAACTGCACACATAGGAGATTAAATGTGGGTCATTCGTGGTAAGTCATTATGTGAAACAGAAACCAAAGATAACCTCAGACAACTGTAAGTATCCAACTGTGATGTGAGCAGAAGTATTTTCCAACAAGATACCCAAGAAGACCATCATGGTTTAGATGCTGTGTCTCCCAACAGCTCACCTGTGAGACAAAGGTTTTGGAGGAGACATGATTGGTTTATAGCCTTAACCTTGTCAGTAAATTAATTCCCAATGGGATTCACTGAGTGATAACAGAGGGCAGGTGGGGTGTGGCTGGAGGAAGCTGATTTGAGGGTGTGAATATGGTGTGTATATTTTGTATCTGGCAAGGCACAATCTCTGTCCTCTCTGGTAATGTGAGCACCTTTCCTCTACCACAATTTCCTACCATGATGTTCAGCCTCACCTTGAAGTGAGGGCCCAAGGAATGGAATCTGCTGTGTGTGCATTGAGACATCTGAAACCATGAGTCCCCAAATAAACTTTTCCTCCTCTGTCGTTGTTGGGGTTGGGTGATTTATTGACAGCGTGAGAAAGCTGACTAACACAAAGACAGAACAAAAAAGCAGAAATGCAATTCTGTAACTGCCGCCAATCAAACCATTCCTTCTACATCTTCCCTGTAAGTCCTCCCCTCACATGGCTCACCATCCAAGCACTCCCTCTCTTTCCGTCTCTCCTTCCTCAATTCCTGAATTACTTTTTACTCAGACTCTTCAAATTTTCCTTTGCCTGTGAACTTCTCACAGCCTAAAGAGCCCTGGAAACTGCCTGGAGCAAAGGCTGCCTGGGAGATGTGCCCTGGGGGGGTCCCTGATTCTGCAGGAAGACTCTCCAGTGGGTGGCCTCCCTGATGTCAGGAACACCTGCTGTCCAACCCTGTGTCTTTCTCTCCCATTCCCAAGTTGCCCACAGTTTCCACCCTTGGTGGATTTCAGACCTTTCCAAGTCCCCATCAGGGGCATGTTGGCCCATGCCTATAATCACAGCAACTCAGGAGACTGAGGCAGGAGGATGGCAAATTTGAGGCCAGCCTCAGCAACTTAGTGAGGACCTAAGCAATTTAGTGAGACACTATCTCCAAATAAAAGCAAAAAATAAAAAGGGCAGGGGATGTGATTCAGTGGTAGAGAACCAATGGGTTCAATCCCCAGTACAGACAGACAAACAGGAGAAGTCTTGCCCTAAGTCTAGAAGACTGATTCCACCCTCCTTGTCTGCTCTTCCTCTCTGAGTGTGCCCAGATTTGCTGCAAGGTAACTCGACACTTGTGTGACTGTTGTCAACATGGTTTCCATTCTGTGGTCTTCATGGATGACACTACTGTCTTCAAAAAGCTGTTTTTACTATGGAATTTTTGGAAAAAAAATTCAAATAATTTTGATATGGCCAAAGACCCCTTTGAAAGATATTTTCAGGTGTTGTTTTTTCTTAGGGATTCAGTGCTTTTCTGTCTCACAGGAGGAACAGGAGGGTCACATATGGACAAAATTGAGTCCATGTTTAGAGTTCATGGAGGGACGCATCCCTGACTCTCACAGTCTCCCTGATTCTGTGCTACTGCATGAGCATGAGCATTGGATTCAATCAATCAATCTGGAGGAAGAACATCCGATCAGGATTAAATGGGTGGAGACTGGAGAACCTGATCAGATACTGCTTTCTGATTGGATGCCAGTCAATCAGATGGAGGTGGGGGCGTGGTCAGAGAGGTCCATAAAAGCTTCTGTGGAGCCAGAAGAGAAACACAAGAGTCCTGGAGCCCAAGGAGAACCAGTCTGGCCTGCTGAGGCTCTGAGAACGCTGCACACCTGGACAGATCCCGTAAGTCCCTCACCGCCCTGAGCACCACCCCGTTCCCGCCTCACCTGTGCGGATTCAGGAACAATTTTTTTTCCCCTGTCTTTTCTCATGAACCAATTTAGAACGTCGATTTTGCCTCTCAGTGTAGCTTTACCTTGATCCTGAACTCTAGGATTTCCACTTTGGTTTATGTCACTTTCAATTTTCTTTCTTTCTTTGGTATGGGCTATTGAACCCAGGGCACTGAAACAATGAGCCACATCCCCAGCCCTGTTCTGTGCTGTATTTAGAGACAGGGTCTCACTGAGTTGCTTGGAGCCTGCTCTTGCTGAGGCTGACTTTGACCGCATCATCCCCCTGTCTCAGTCTCTGGAGACCCTGGGATTACAGGCTTGTGCACGCATGCCCCGCACTTTTTCTTTTTCTCAATTGTTGTTTTCTAAAGTTTATATGGACAATAGAATTTATTTATCCATTTATTTATTTGGTGGTATGGTGATTGAACCAGGGCCTTGTGCATGGGAGGCAAGCACTCTATCAACAGAGGTATGTCCCCAGCCCATCATTTAATAATTTTTCCTGCTGCTGAAGATCAAGCCCAGTGCCTCACATGTCCTAGGAAAGTGCTCTTCCACTGAGCTCCAGGCAAAGCCAATTTAAAATTACTTAAGCAAGGAAGTGAATTGCAATCCTATTTCATTCTAATTGATTGGAATTCTATTTCCTGATAATAAAAATGTTTATTTTGTGTGCCCTTAAAATTATACTGTTTTGTTGGGCGTGATGGCACACACCTGTAATCCCAACACCTCCAGAGTTTGAGGAGGCCAGAGAATTAGAGTTCAAAGCCAGCCACAGCAGCATGAGGTGCTGAACAAATCAGTGAGACCCTGTCTCCAACTAAAATACAAAATATGGCTGGGGGCAGTGACTTACTGGTTGAGTGTCCTGAATTCAATCCCCAATATTGCCTCATCCCCCAAATTATACTTTAAAGCTTATGTAGTTTTGTAATTTTATAATTTGTTTAAACAAATAAACAAAAAGCTTCAAACTATCTCATGCAACACTTCACAGACTCTGTTCTTCTGATCTCTTTGTTCTCTTGACCTCCCCCCTAAGGTGGCAGAATCTCACATGTGTAACAGATATCCGTGAGACTCTATTGTAATTTCCAAGTGTTTTATAATATGGGCACATGCTTTATAATTGCCCATTAAAGTTTTTTTGAAATTAAAAATAACATCACCCATGTGAGGGCAACTCCTTTCTGAGCCTCTGTAGTTGTTGAAACTGAGGAGCCTACTGCATTAAGTCACATGACACTCCAATTCCCATTTTATAAGGACAAAGGCTTTCCCCCATTAAGGTTGGGGTGAGTTTTAGACTCCCCAGTACCCCCTTCCCAGTGGCTGGCAATGGATGGGATAGTGGCCTTTTTTTCTGGACCATTTTCCTGGATGCTTCTTCTTTCAGACTCCCCAGGATGAGCATCCAGTCCCCACCCACGCTGCTGGAGCTGGCAGGGCGCAGCCTGCTGAGCGACAAGTCCAGGGCCATCCTGGATCTGGAGGACCTGCCCATAGAGCTCTTCCCACCACTCTTTGTGGAGGCCTTCAGCAGGGGACACACTGAGGTCCTGAAGAAAATGGTGCAGGCCTGGCCCTTCACCTGCCTGCCCCTGGGGACCTTGATGAGGCAGCCACAGCCGGAGATGCTCCGAGTGGCACTGGATGGGCTGGACATGCTGCTTGCCCAGCAGGATCGCCCCAGGTGAGGGGGACCCAGGTGGCCTGGAAGGGAGCACCCTCGGTGCCAGGGAAGGGATGGGTATAGGCAGGGAGACTGGGTGCTGAAGTGTGCTCCACAGGCTTCCTGTGCTGCCAGCAAGGAGGGGTGGAGAGGCCTTGGCCATGCTGAGCCCCATCTGGGAAAGGCTTCCAGATGTGGTGGTGCTTGTGGCAGCTGTGCTGACCCCTGAATGAGGCTGTACCTGCCCCTGCCTCAGTCTGTACAGGTGGGGGCACCAGGCTGGATTGGAGGGAAGTGGGTGGAGAAAAGTGAGACAGAAGGAAGAGGTGGAGCAGGGAGCAGCAGCTGAGAGGGGAAGGAAGGGGCCTCAGGGCTGAGACTCTGCTGTGGTCCCCGCAGGAGGTGGAAACTGCAGGTGCTGGATTTGCGGAGGGCTCCACGGAACTTCTGGAGGACGTGGTCTGGAGCCGTGATCGATGCCTGCTCACCAGAGGACATTAAGAAGAATCGAACATTGAAACTTGGTCCAGCAATGGCAGCTAAGCTGCCCTTGAAGATATTCATAGACTTGTGCCTCACAGAAGGGCCCCTGGATGAATTCCTGACCCACTTGTTCCTATGGGTCACACAGAGAAGGGACAGGCTGCACCTGTGTTGCAGTAGGCTGAAGATCTTATGGAAACCCACCCGCCACACCAGGAAGGTCCTGAGACTGCTGCAGCTGGACTCTGTCCAGAAGGTGGAAGTGCACTGCACCTGGGCGCCCTCCACCTTGGCTGCTTGTGCTCCTTTCTTGGGCCAGATGAGGAACCTGAGGAAGCTGCTTGTCTCCCAGGTCCGCGTGCCTGCCCACACCTCCCCAGAGGAGCAGAAGCGGCTGCTCTCCCAGCTCACCTCGCAGTTCCTCAGGATGGACTGCCTGAGGAAGTTCTATGTGGATGCTGTCCTCCTCCTTGAGGGCCACCTGGAGCAGGTGCTGGGGTGAGTAAGGGGGATGAGCTTCCTCTGCAGACCAGTATCAGTAAATATGAAAGGGCACCTACTGTGTGCTAGCCACTGACACTCTCATGGTGAACAAGGCACTGGAAGGTAAATAACCCATCATCTGTTCCTGTTGTATCCTGAAGCTCCATCTCCTAACCTGTGTTAGAGCAAAGGGCTAAACCAGGGTTCATGGTCTGGGAAGTGACATCATGCTGGGAAGCCAGCTGATGTGGAGAGGAGCTAGTGAGGTGGGTGTGAGGTTCCTTCCCTGGGAGCCCTGTCCAGCGACAGGGGTACAAAGCAGGGTAGAGGTGAGGACTTTGAAGGAGGGAAGCCCCCACACCTGTACCTGTTCAACAAGGAAGCCCTGTTGTCCTCCATCTGGGAGCAGAGGAGCCCACTTCTAATGCCCTCCTGGGGAAGGCAGGTCTGAGCTCCCGGTGATGACTCAGGGGTTGTGAGTGAAGAGCAGGGAGTGAGACCTTGCTGAGGGGACAGGGAGTGAGCCCTGCAGGGGCTAACCCCAGGGTGTTTCGACACATCTTTCCTGGATTTGTCTTTGGCACATGACTCTTCCTGACTTCCTGGGGCTAGATTTGTGGCTTTCTGCTTGTCATTGAGGGTGACATTCATAGAGATGGAGGACCCACCTGGTCACACAAGTAGTGGTAAAAGTTTCAGGTTGAATTGGAGTGACCTGAATGAGCAGATTCTACAAAATGTCAACCATGTTCAGATGGTCACAGTGACCTTGGGTTTGGGCCAATTCATCTTCTCCCTCAGAACTAACTGCCTGGTTCCTCCTTAGGCACCTGAAGACCCCCCTGGAGACCCTCTCAATAACCAAGTGCCCGCTCTCAGATTCCGACTGGAATTATCTCTCCCGCTGCCCAAACACCAGCCAGCTCAGACGCCTGGATCTGAGATACATCAAACTGACCAATTTCAGTCCAGAGCCCCTCAAAATTCTGCTGGAGACTGTGGCAGCCACCCTGAAGAGGTTGGACTTGGAAGCCTGTGAGATCACGGAATCCCAGCTCCAAGCCATCCTGCCTGCCCTGAGCCGCTGCTCCCAGCTCAGGGCCTTGTGCTTTTTCCAGAATCGCATCTCCATGTCGGTCCTCAGGGACCTGCTCTGTCACACTGCCAGGCTGAGCCAGTTGAGTGTAGAGCTATACCCTGCCCCTCTGGAGAGCTATGATGCCCAGGGTGCCATCCTCCAAGGGAGATGTTCCCAACTCTGTGCTGAGCTCACAGCACTATTGAAGGACTTTAGGCAGCCCAAGGTCCTTGTGTTCTGTACTGTCCCATGTCCTCAATGTGGCAGCATGTTCCTCTACAACCAGGGCCTCAATCACTGTTTCTGTCCAACAGCTGCCTAGTTGGGTGTGCATAAAAAGCT